AATAATAATAATAATAATAATAATAATAATTGCTTTGGAGGACTTGCCATTTTGAGAATGAGCATCTGGGTAGATATGGATGAAAGGATATCCTTTTATTCTATTTGAAGTGTCTGAACACTAATAATTTACTTGCACTTTTAATTATTTGTTAGTAGTGCTCTCACCTTTAACTAAAAGCTGTTCTGGAAGTATGGAGCTGGTTAAAATAGCATAAAATAATCCTAATTCAAGACCACAAAAGATTTCTACTCTAGCATGAGTTTTATCACTTGTGTGGGTTGGGCTTTTTTTTTCTTTCATTTTTTTAATGAAATTATTGCTTTAAGAATGAAACCTTTATTGATAGTTCTTTCATAGGGAAAAAAAACCTGGAAGCGGAATATTGGGCATTGCATGTTTCAGCCTTATCTCTAGGCTGGGAGATGGTAGCTGGGACACGCGTGTGTCTGGGCTTAGTAAGGCACGAGGTCCACTTTTTCTGCTTTTCCCAATGCCCCAGAAATACCGAAGAGCTGGCACAGCCGTGAAGGAGAATGCAGTTTGCTGCATAAGGAGACACAAAAGAATTGGGGAATCATTTTGTTGTTGATTCGGTTTTGGTCTTAGTGATATTTAACGCAGAATTTTGGGGCCTAGGGGGCTATGTTTTCTTTGAGAACTGCGTATTTCCTCCTTATTATCATTTACTCTCCAACAGTGAGATTTCTTGGGGGGCTTTTTGATCTTTTCACTGAACTGTTTTACTAAGCCAGAGTTTAATCCTATGTTGTACTACGTGACTTATTTGTTGTCTAAATAAGTTAGGTGGGAGCAAAATCAGAGTTCCCCCCCTTTTATATGCTTGGCTTGTGCTAGTGTTTTGTAATTAATCAAGTTAACGTTTTGATACTTGTTCAAATGCGTGTGAATTCTGTAGAACTTACACTTGTCTGGCTGGATATAACAATATTCTAGGTGCTGGAAGAAGCAAACACTGATTTTTATAGAAACTGATACCATCTACTATTTAACTAGAGATGACTTGACTAGGACTATTTTGCATCTACGTGTCTCCCTTTTTATTGTGTTCTCAGGCTTTCAAGCTTTTTAAGCTTTTCCTGTGAGACTGAACATTTTTTCTCTCCCATTTCTCTCTTCTTCCTTTCAAGAATCTTACAAATTAAGACAAAAGATAATTACTCAGAGGGTAGAATTGGCAGAGTTCCCACGACACTTAAAATTAATGAGCTGTTGCATATAAAATATACCTTGTCTCATGTTCGCTGGGTTTTCTTTTTTTTGGTGGACCATAAAAGTGCACGACTTGGCTTTTTGGCTGAGTTTTCTCGTTTAGTAATTTTTGGTTTATAAAGCAGCAACCGCACACAGAAAACTAATCTCTCCGACTTAACGTTTCTATATGAGCGGCTCAGTATGTACAATTTGTTACCTCCAAAAGAAAAATATCACTCGTGGTGATGAAATACACATTAACGAAGCCGCCCGTCGCTCGTTTGTGCTGTGCCTTATTAAAAATAAATCGCTGTGCTCTGCACGTCTGTAGCGCCTTCCGTCCAGTGGGAGAACTCCTTCCGAAGGAGGATGAATGCTTTTGCCATGAACTCCCCGAGAGGGGTTAGCAATTATTATCGGTTCCATCACTGGAAATGAGACACGGGGGTTACGCGGCTTGCGCTGAAGTCGCCGAGCGATCCTCGGCTCGCTGGGGCAGCACCAGGAACTCCCGAGCTCAGGAGCAACAGAGCCACAGGGGGAGTTTGTGGCGACTTCGCTGCCGACAACTCTTCTCTCATTTGTACTCGATTCACCCAAGAGGGAAGGAAGGGAGGAGGAAGAACGATTGCGATTTTGGTTTGTTTTGTTTTTTTTTCCATAATCTGCTTCAATGCTTACGACCAACTGAGTGTGATAAGTGACCTTAGTAACAAATACGTCAGTAGCTTGCTGGAGTTATGGCTTTTTGGAGGTAGGTGTCTATTCAAAAGCAGCCAAGATGTCCTTCTTCTGTTCAGGAGGACAATACTACTGCTGCTGTAATACTACAGGACATCTGTAGAAACAATGAAGCTCCACATTTAGGTTAGGACGTACCTGTTATGGGTATATCGTGTTTAGCAGCTAAACAAGCCTTTAATTTCACAAGAAAGCAGTGACTTAATTCATTTAGTTACTATTCCCAAACAGATTGTGTGTGTTATGTGTAATAAATACAATTTCTAGATACTTGTGCTATTAAGTATTTATGAATTTTCTTATTTACATCCTTTCCTAAAACGTTGCTGATAAAGGCAGGAGCAGAAGCCAAGAGCAGGTGAGTAGAGAAGGCAGGAGAGCGCTTGCCGTTGCAGGTGTTGGATCACAAACCTCCCAGACCTCCAGTGACAGGTGCTTCACTGAAAAGGGGGTGGCCCTGACATAAATTCAGCATGTTTCCAGTTAACAGACAGACAGAGAAATGTGACTAATTTTTTTTTTTTTTTTAAAAAAAACATGGTCCAAAAACTGTTTTAGTATTCTCCTTTCCTTGCAGAAGTACCTTTTTCTATTTGCAGCTTGTCTGCTGTCGGCAAGATGCTGTCAGTTTGGTTTCGCAGTTTGGACATTGCTGAAAACAAAGCATACATACATTCTCATGGAACCTTTCCTTTCTTTTACATTAGTGTAAAAATAAATGCTTTTTCTGTTTAGACTGTGTTTAGAATTCCCTCGCTGCAACAGCAAAAAGTTAATTAGAACTGTCATAAATAAAAATCAGACTGGTAAGTCTAAATTTAGGTCAATCAAAACAGTAATACACCTTGTATGTTTTAATTTGGATATCGAAGCTAATGTGTCTTAACAAGCAAAGGAAATGCTTCAGTAAATCTGTTCATATAAAGAAATATGCAAAATAGCACTTCTATTTCTATATTGATTTTGCTTTGGGTATAAGAAGACACCGACATCAGAGAAGATTGGCTGTTCTGAATGAAGAGTTTGGCCTCGTATGCTTTTTTTTCTTTCTTTTAATAGCCTGATGTTCTCTCTTCTCAGTTTTCAATGGGTCCAGCAAATCATCGAAGGAGAAAGAACCTGCTCAGAAACACAAAAGCAAAGAGGCCACACCGGGGAAGGAGAGGAACAGCGAACAGAAGGCTGAGAGCCGAAAAGACCAGGCTGCTGCTAATCACCATTCTACTACAAACACTGGCTCCTCTACGAAAGGGCTCACCGCTACCAACCACCACACTCTTCATAGATCGGCTCAGGACTTAAGGAAACAGGTAACGAACCATACTCGGCTCTGGACTCATGGGAAATGCAGACTTTTAGGGTGCTGGCTCCGTTTTCCACTGCCTGGTGTGGAGTGAACGTGGCAGTCCTTTAATGCCCACTCTGGAGACAGCAGAGAGTTCACTTCCAGTGAAAGAGAGGAAAAAGGGAAGCGATAGACACCTGGGAGGCTGGTATGATAAAGCATGCTTTACAACCAGCCCCATCTTTATATTGTGTGGTGCACACGTATGAACAAGGCTCAGTGCCCTTGCAGACAAGCCGATGTGCTTGGGTATCGTCTTGCACGTGGGCAACACACGAGTCTGGGGAAAAATGTTTTGCTTGATGCATAAAGAACGTGCTTCAGGGTATTTTCTTCTTCACAGGAGACCTACCAGGTGGGGAGAAAGTCTGAGTTTGGTGTTAACTGGTTGAAAAATAGTAAAAAGTGTAGATTTTTTCCAGCTTAACTTGTTTTGGGTGTGGAAGTTTAGCAGAGCAATCTTGTGGTGCTTGTGACTGGCATTCGGGCAGAGTGCGTCTCCATTTATTTTTGATGATTGGGTCAAAGGCCTCCAAATACATCAACTGCAAAATAGGTTTTTGTAAAAGATATTCAGGCTGGGGCTGGGGCAGTGCAGTATAGACAACTTCCTACACTTGGACTTCTTTTTTTTCTTTCCCCCCTCCAGTGGTTAATTCTCAACTAGCCACTTAGAGAAAGTCTTTATTTGCTGGCATCTCGAGGTTTTTCTTCTAAGGAGGCTGCCCTGCACTTGAGTGGAGCTGGAATTGACATCTTGTATGGCTGTCAAGGCCTTAAACGGCATCTTTCAGTCAGGAGCTTGGAAATTAAAACTGACAAATACTCAAACAATGGTGTTCTTGCTGGGAAAATTTTTCATGCCCTGTGCTTTGGTGGTGTTTAGCTTCTCCTGAAATACCACCACTAGATTTGCATTTTGTTCTGCATCGAATTTGATTCTGGAGCCTATCGGCAGCGTATTTCTCTGTACTTCCTAAGATTATACCCCTGTGGCAGTTTTTACTTATCTAGTCATCACCTTGAATTGCCCACTTTCTTTTGCATCCTTTCATTTTTGTGACTACCAGCATCTTATGGTCCTTTCTGTGATGTGCTCTGCTATGAGCTCTTTGCATTGAACAGATTTCCCAAACCGTGCGTGGATGCGCTTCATACTTTATTATTTTAACTCACTGGAATGCTCGTGTGAAATGTTTTACAGTTGTACCACCCGAGTGTGAACGGTGAAATTCTTGTCAACTGTCATCGCTTGTGAAGGTAGTTCTGAGAAGGGAAAAGATGAGCGTAGAGGATTTCTGTCCTCAGTCCAAGTGTTTTTGCTTCGTTAGGGTATTAGATGGTTTCCATTGTGCCATGCAAAATGGAAAGAAATTCTAAAGCAATGCAGTACAGCCACTGCAGACACCTCACCGAGTGTGTGGTCCTCAAGTTTCAGAAATAAAAGGACACTGTAAGTTGAGATGATGATCTTTTTTCATGTTTTCCCCCTGAAAGGTTAGGCATTTTAATTTTCTTCTGCAACCCACAGTAACATAAGTACTTTCTTACCGATTTTAATGAAAATGTGGCTGTAACTAATTAAAGGTGGATTATGCGTTTTGCCTGACAGAGACTTCGCTTTGTGCAAAACCTTAGACTTAACCGGTTACGTGACGTTGCTGAATTTCTTGCCCTTGTCCTGAGCCTTTGTTGACTTTTTCAGGTTTTTTTCAGTCTCCTTTTCCAAAAAGAGAGTTGTTTTCCCAGGGTGCCAGCCACGTGTGCCTCCTCCTTCCACTGTGGTTTTGCTCCTTGTTCTCATGCGTTTACATGCTTTATTTATGTCGGTGCTTTGGTTTTGTTTGCTCTTACAAGGTGAAGGCAGAACACTAGAAATTACCTGAGACTCTTTTTTCCTCTCTTTTTTTCTTTCCTTTTCTGGTGTGCCCTTACACTTGTCACATGTTCCGTCTCTCTGTTCTCTCTGTTCTTCCTCCCTCGCTATATTCCCAAATCCCCAACTTCAAAGGGCTTGTGGGCAGAGGAAATGTAGTTCAATGGGGCCCTCTCTTGGCTTAATATGGTAATTTACCTCTGCCAAACTCCCGTCAACACAGAAGCGTTTTTTTTATGAATGAATGCAAGATCGGTTGCATACCTTGGATTTTTTGGGGACCCAGACTGTCGTTGGAATTGCTAACGTTGCTGTTATTGCTGTGGTTGGCAGCTAACAAGTTCTTGATTGGCCTTATTTCGTTTGTGTGTGCATGTGTCTGGAGACTGGATCCTAGGTGTTGTGGAGAGGTGTGGTTATAGACCAGTTCAAATCCAGCAAGACTGCAAGACTATGTGCTGCTCCATTTTGCTTTTTCAAAGGAAATTTAAAGTCTGCCGTACCATCTTTTACTGCAAGTCAAGTGTCCAGTGAACTGGTCTGAAGACAAATAATATGTCAGCCAAACTGAGAAGACAGCTGAAAAACAAAGATAAGATTATTCGTATCCCTAGTTTGACCTTTAGCTCAAGACTTTGAGTCGTGTATATCATGTCAATCATGATTAGCTAATGTCAATCAATGTTACTAATAGGTGACCCGCTTAGTGGATGAGGGAAAGGCTGCGGGTGTTGTCTACCTGGACTTTAGTAACGCCTTTGACACCATTTCCCACAGCATTCTCCTGCAGAAACTCGAGTGTACTCTTCTCCGGGTGAAAAACTGGCTGGATGGCTGAGCCCTGAGAGTGGTGGTGGATGAAGTTAAATCTAGCTGGTGTCCGGTCACAAGTGATGTTCCCCGGGGCTCACTGCTGGGGGGCACTGCTCTTTAACGTTGGTCTCAGTGATTTTGTATGCTTTGTGCTACCCTCTTGTTGGCATCTCACTCTGCTCCCCAAATATTAGTCCTCCCTTATATGTATTTGATCCGTCCTTCCTGAAGCCAGCACTTCCTCTTATTGTAGAAATGTTCCGAAATAAGGTCTTTGAGATTGCCTTTCATTTTGACCTTGTCTCCAGAGTGCTTACAGCCCCTTCCAGGTGTGTCACTGGCAAATTTTGTGGTAATCCAAGTTATTGATGGAAATACTTGGTAGAACTTAGGCCCAGACAAGGCCTTGCAGATGAGACACCCTCGTAGGACGGCATGAACTACGACAGTGATAGCTTCACTTGAGCATGGCTCCATTTAATGCCATGGGAAGCCACTTTAGAGCAGTCATCTCTGGGACATGTCTCAGGAGCTGGTGTGATGGAACGTCCTGTGGGACGGTGACCGGAGCCCTTCTGAAGCGGACATGCTTCTTCACCTGCTCAGCCAGGTGTCCGTCAGGAGTTGATTAAATTAGCTCAGTGTTCTATTTTGGCAAAGCTATGAGTGGAGGTTTTTTTGGTTTGTTTTCAATTAATTTGTTTGGGTTTCACAGTATCCTATTACCATTTATGTGTTTACAAAGTAACCATTTGGTGATTTGTTCCAGAATGATTTTACGGGTTGAAGTTAGCTAGACTCTTCCTGCCCTCGGCTTGTTTCCAGGAGCCATGCCCTAAATCATCTCGGTACATTTTAGCTTACTGGGGTTACTTTCCTAGGTCTTTCCTTCAGATTGATTATGTGTCCGGTGAGTATCCAGTCAGTGGTACTTTTCATGGAGGCTGATACAAAAGAAGCACATCCTTCCATGTGTGGTGGTTGATCTCTGCTATTCTTCATTCTGTTTTTTAAAGTATTTATATTTTTTTTCCTATTTCATTTTATGTCTCTCCCTAAGTGAAGTTTCTTTAGCTCTTTGACCTTTTTGATTTTACCCATGCATACTTTCGCTAATCCTGTATAGCTACCCTTAGTCACATAATTGTGTTTCTACATTTTACTGTGAGTCTTCTCTAGTTTTTCCAGTCATTAGAGAACTTTGTGAACGAGCATATAATGGCCTGTGCTTTGTGCCCTTCCTCTGCGTTGGAATTGCGTTGGTTTGGGTTTGTTCTGGGTTTGATTGGGTTTTTTGAGTTTGTTTTTTTTTTGAGAATCTGTTGTCCTTTCTCTACTGTTGTCACATCTTAGGATTGAAAACTCATTTTATGATCACCCAGATTACTTTTCCCCCTCCAGTTCTCAATCAGTTCTCTATTAGTTGAGATGGAATCTGTAATCGATGTTCCTGGCTATTTATAGAGCCAGAGATACTCAACGCTTGTTCAGGCTGCTGCAGGCAAGAGGCAGCATCGCAGCAACTCTCTCCTCGTGTCTGCTCTGCAGCACGAAAAAGGGCAGAAAAAGTCAAACACATGCCTCCATTTCCAACGCAGAGCACTGGCTAAATTTCGAGGGAAATGAGTAAATGCATTTCTGTTAGCAGGCATTTGCTTTCTGGGTGATAACTTGCTTCTCTGGAAAGCTCAAGGTAAAAACCTCATGGTTAACTGGATTTCCCTGAAACGTTTCTACCTTGGAAGCGCAGAAGGACAAGAACGTGGATGGATTCTAAAAGGGTGTTACTCCTGCTTCAGGTTCTGGAGCCACAGAGGAGAAGACTCACGCAGTGGATCCCTGGGTTCCAGTTCCTCTTCCCCAAGTCACTTAATGCAAGACAATAGCGTGATCTCTTCAGTCGCTATTTGATCCCCATTTTATAACATTTTATCCCTGCTTTATAAGGGACTACAATTCCTGCATTTGTTTGAGAGAAGCTGCTGTTCCTACTAATTTGGCGAGGATTTTGAAATCCCACAGGGAAGTGTTACAATTTTTCAGGAGCGTTTTACTCACCGCAGCACTGATGAGGGGTGGTTGTGCTATATCCCTTCACTTGGAGCACTTTTATAAATTTTCCGGATTTTTGGATGTGTTTTTCTGCACTCACAGTAGTGTAAGGAGGTGAGAGGATGATGTTTAAACTTGTTTAAATGCTGAAATTCCTTTGAGGTTTAAACTTGATCTTAATTTTCTTAGTAGTGGGCCTTAGCTTTGGCAGTGCTGAATTGCAATTCCCTTCCAAGCTGAGTGTTGCTTCTGGTGCTTAACATGTCTTTCAGTTAAAATACAAATTCTAGTTTTCATGACTGAGTTTAAATGTCTAACAGAAAGCAGTGGGGTCCAGCACTTCTAAGTCATAAAGACACATTACCGAGGGACAAATGTGGTGTAGTAAAATGTGTGTCAGCAAAACTGCCCCCATACCAAACTCTTTTAAAAAAATAAAAAAGCGTGTATAAATTTTTATTTCAAGTTAATGATTTCAGCAACGAGATGCCTCCCAAGATACAGTATGTATGGAAGACTGGATCGTTCATGGCCATCCTGATCCGTTGGGTGCACAATGTGTTCAGTATCTCTTTTTATATGTATGTATTTATAGACAGGAGGTTGGTTTCAATCTCATCGTGTGCGGGTTTTTGCAAAACATGCCCATTCCAGTTAGATAGTATTTGTGGGGTTTTTGTTTGCTAAGAAGAAGTAGACTGTGTTTGCACTTCAGGGAAGTTGAGTGGGAGAGAGGCAATGTCTGAGGGACAGAAAAGGAGATAATGAAGGTATTAATTTGTAAATTCTGTGTTACCTGTGTTTTGTGCTGCCCTAACAGGCTTTCTGACAAGGCATGGGGTAGTGCAAGCAAGGACTTCATACCCTCCGAAAGCAAAATGGCTTTCTGGGGAGTTTTTGGTTCGTTTAAAAAAAAATAAAAATTCTATTTTAGTTGTTATATATGCCCAGTCCTTCCTCTTGCCTGGGTGAAACACGTTACGTGAAGGTTGTAGTAAGGGGCTGGTAGTCAGAACTGCAGGATGTGGTTGTCCAGCAACTGGGAGGTTGAGGCCGAGTGGTAACACCATTAATTTACTTTTCTGTTTTCTGTTTCCTTCCTTCTGCTCCCCCTGCAACACTCCCGGCATCGCAGGTTTCTAAAGTCAACGGGATCACTCGAATGTCATCTCCGAGTGCGAATGCAGCCAGTGCCAAAAAGATGAGAGAAGTCAGACCTTCACCGTCCAAAACTGTGAAGTACACTGCAACAGTGACAAAGGGAACTGTCACATACACCAAAGCCAAGAAAGAACTGGTCAAGGAAACCAAACTAAATCACCACAAACCCAGTTCACCTGTCAACCACACAATCTCAGGGAAAACAGAAAGTAGCAATGCAAAAACCCGCAAACAGGTGCTATCCCTTGGGGCATCCAAGTCTAACAATACCGCTGTTAATGGTGTAAAAGTCAATGGCAAGTTGAACCAAAAGACATGCACTAAGGAGGTGGGGAGACAGTTGAGGGAGGGACTGCGCAATTCGAAGAGGAGGCTGGAAGAGACGAGTCACGTGGACAAAATACAGTCGCCCACCAAGAGGATGAAAGGGGCTGTCAACTTGGCAGAAGCTGCCAGCAAGAAGGCAGCCATTGAAAAGCCTTTGCTGAATGGACACCTTAAAAAGGAAGTGCCAGAGAAGAGTTTGGAAAGGAATAGGCCGAAAAGAGCCACTGCTGGAAAGAGTACGCCAGGGAAACAAGCACATGGCAAAACTGAAAATGCCTCCTGTGAAAATCGTTCTACCTCTCAAGCGGAGTCCTTGCACAAGCCACAAGACTCAATGGGAAAGCACGAAAAGGGCAGTAGTAAGTCTGGGTGGGGGATGCTGGGGGAGATTCCCATCCTTAGGCCCTCCACCAAGGAATTCCATGACCCACTGATATACATTGAGTCAGTCCGAGCTCAGGTAGAGAAGTATGGGATGTGCAGGGTGATTCCTCCTCCAGACTGGAGACCTGAGTGCAAGCTAAACGATGAAATGCGGTTTGTGACCCAGATTCAGCACATACACAAGCTAGGCAGGCGCTGGGGACCCAACGTGCAGCGGCTGGCCTGTATCAAGAAGCACCTCAAATCTCAGGGCATTACCATGGACGAACTCCCACTCATAGGTAAGGGCTGTGGTTTCCTTGGCCTTTTGCCCTGCTTCTCGGTGTCCGTGTACGACTTTGTGCTCCCTTTGCCTTTCTGCTTAACCGACCCCCCATTCAATTAACGCTGCCGAGCTCGGGATCCCTCTCTTTACCCCGCTCGTCAGTCAGGCGCGACGCAGGTAGGCTGGCGCAGAGCTTTCATACTGCCACTGTCCTCCTGCCAGCTCTTCATTTCACCCAAAGCGGGGACAAAAACCCCAAGAAACTATGTGGGATCCCAGCCTTCGGGTTTCAGGACGTTCTCCTTTCCCTGCTGTTAATTTTTGTGGATAGTACAACTAAGGGTATCGATAGCCTTGGCTTAAATATTGCCTTAGAATGTTTTCTGGAGCTCTTCAAAGCTATTTTCCAAGCAGGTTGTAGTGCTGCCAAGCTTTAATACAAATATTCCCCCCCACCCTTCCTTTAAAAGCATTTAACCAAAGGGGAAAGAAAATATCTCAAAACTGACTTCTGTTTGGGTACTCAGACACTTAAAATCACAAATTTGCAGTGACCTGCTGACATTTAACAACCATTAAGTGTCAAGAATAGGCAGTAAAATGTGGTTGATTGCAAAATGGAGGTTTCATTATTTCTCCCAGCAGGTGTCTGCCAGGGCTAATGCCTGAGTGAGAATCACTTATTTAACAGAATTCTTGGTTTATGGTCTGCTGTCAAATATGACACGTGACTAAAATGTGACAATAGTTTGTAAAAACATGACAACAGCAGCATACTAATGAGCTGTCGAATGAGCTACCTCCATCTCTGCTGCCTCTGCAGCCGTGCGTAGTAACAAAGTTGTGGGTTTGATTTTTCCCTAGCCTTTCCCTTTGGTTTTGAAGCGTTTTGAGTCGGAGCTCCCAGGACCCGCGTGTCGGAACTCGGGGCTAGAGTTTTGCCTTTGAGGCATTATCTGATCAGAGGCAGCTATCAGCGTGAGCTGGATTAAAGGACACGCTTTTCTTCTTTAAACTGTTCACAACAGTATTTCCCCTCCCCACACAGAGGCATTTTCAAACTTTGTTTTATATCACATATGGCGAGTGAGGGAAAAAGTGTGAAAGTACACAAAGAGCTGCAGAGTGTGTGGTGAACTGGTTGCAGGGCACGGCAGAGGAACGACGGAGTTTAAGGAAGAGGAACGAGGGGTTAGCGCTCTGTTGCAGTAGCCATGGAAAAAACGTTGAAAGAAATCTGAAAATTAAAATCACTCAAGCAGCAATAAGTGAACATTTTGTATGCCTAATGTATGCAGTGGTTGTATGCTAATCGGGAAGAATAATGAATTAAATTTACATTGGCAAGAGAGAGAAGAAAATGTGCAAGACAACTCGATTAACGCTTCTGGAACAATGTTAACTTTTTAATGAAATACCTTAACTCGGCATTAAGATGGCATTACTGTTAATTATTTGTATTATTTAAGCACCTAAGAGCCTAATTAGTACGGAAGGGTTCTATTCTGCTGGGTGCCGTATAACCAGAGCAAACAGAAGTCTCTTAAAAAATTTGCATCCTGTGTATCTGCTCTGTGGTTCACTTCTACCTATCCCGTGGTTAAAATTGAAAACAAAATGGAGAAGAGAAGCTGGAGTCTATCAGTGTGCGAAGATGAGAAATCTGGTGATTTCAGGGAAAATAATCTGTTGCTGATAAATGCACATTTATTTCAGTAGACATAAGTATGTGAGTGACCCCTCCTTTCAGGGCCAAATCATGTTTCTATTGAAGCAAGTGGGAGTTTAGCCAACGACTTGTGTCGTGCCAGCGTTTGGGATTAAATGCATACCTGAAGATGTTAGGTATTTTTTTTTTAAATGAGCTTGCTTTCTAGGCAATTTAAAAGCATTTGTAGCTTAGTGAAATTAAGACAGTTAATCAAAAGTCAGATGCTATTTCTGCATAATATGCCAGGTGCGCTATTTAAGCCGTTTTGCTACAGGTGTTTGTAAAGGGGATTACCCACTCCCCCCTCCCTGTTTTTTAATTCATTTTTTTTATTTCAGCCTTGCAGGGAGAGTTTAAGCAATATGCTTAGGTCAATTCTAGAAAACATCAGCCTTGGGATAGAAATGCTTCCAAAAGTTATGCCTGTGTGAAATGGAATTAAAATTGGGTCCATTTTGTAAATCTTAGCCGTTGCTGGCCCTGCAGAGGATCCGCCAGAAAAGCGAGGCTCTGGTGGAACGATGCGCTACTCGAGCTCTAATATCCCAGAGTGATTAGAAGAGATCATTCCATGATGTGGGAGAAAATTACATTTCTTAAATAGCTCATAAACAGTCTGGAAACGAGGACCTTGAGCTGAGCCTGCGCTTGTTTGTCCCACTGGAGAACGTGACTAACGTTCAACCTGGACCATGCTTCTCTCGAAGTTAGCAGCGTGTTACTCGACTTTATGTAGGTCGCTGAATCTGTTGGGATGGAAAGCAGTCTTGAATTATGCCTTCAGCTTATTTCTGAGCTGTGCATATAAAACACTAGACCAAAAAAAGTAACAGCCTGGAATAGAGGCCAGCTTGAAAGTTATTTTATTTATGGGGAAGCTTAAAGAGGAAAGAAAGAAAACCTTTCAGACTTGGGCTTTCTTTTAAAACCCACAAGTGATTACCTTTTCTCACCTTCCAGACTTAACCATTTTGACACTTTCCACAAAAATATGACTAATTTGGATAAACCTACTGCCTCGAGGCCTTCCCTCCGCCCGTGTCTTACGCTCCTCAAAGCCTTAACCGTGATTTGGACCGGAGCCAAAATCCTCTCCCCTCTTTTCCCACCTTCGCCCAGTACCAGTGAGGCTGTGCCTCGGTCACAGCCGTAGTCACCCCAAAACGCTGCCCGCGGGCGTACGCTGCTGAAGCCTTGCCTCCTCACAGGATGGGCATGAGCTGGGGAAGAGGGAAAAGCAGAGAGGAGGAAAACTGGGATCAGCTATGAAGCGCTTGAGGTGCAGCCAAGGGTGGTTTAAGAAAAGCAACGCTGCTTGTACTAGTGAGCAAGATGATCTGACTGGCCCTGGAGATGCCATAGCTGAGCATCTGATGGTAAATATTTACCGTAACGCTGCTTCTTGCGCTTCTCTGTTGTATAATAGCATTTCTTAGAGCTCTGAAACAGCTACAGCATAAGGATTTTTTACTTTTCTCAGAGAAAAAAAAAGGAAGGTGAGACAGTGTGGCGGCAGCAATGTTGATGCGAGTTTTATATTAATTCTCTTTTTTCCCTCCAACAGTGCCCTGTTGAACTGTAGGTGGTCTTTCGCCCGTCTCTCCACTACTGATGATTATTTCTGTGCTTTCAGAGTATTTATGATGTTTCTTTTATTGTTCCTCATCTGTTTGGCTGCTTCCTATGCTGCAGTGTGTATAAACCTCCATTTTTAATTTGTGACTGGAATGTGAAGTGTGCCAGTCGTCTTAAAGCGTACAAAAACATAATGGAATATAAAATATGGATAGCCTCAAACTGGAAGAATAATGTGTCAGGGGTTTCTTTTACGCAGCTGCAGGCACCAACCCCAAACGGCCCCCTGCCTCCTTTAGTGGGTTTTTTTTTTTTTGGTTGGTTGAAAGATTTTTCTCCCTGAAGTGAAATAATGATGTTAGTGTTCCTTTTAAATACTGACTATATTCCAAGTGTTATGCAGACATTAGATGAAAGATATCTGACCTCAGGAAAGGATAAGTAGTTGGTTTTGATTGCCGCTGCCCATCTAGACACTTGTTTTGCTTCTCCCTGGCATGAACCAGATAGGCAAGGGGAGGGTGGGAGCTTTCAAAGAGCTGGGCAACTCGTGTCACTGGGTAATGACCAGAGCAAAGACACATGTCGGGAGATAGCTAGGGCTGCCCTGAGAAGGGAAGGGAATGAAACTCAAGGAGGAGGGCAAATTTAGCCACAGGGAAGGCTGTCGTGAGTAGCAGAATATGATCTGCTGAATGAATGAAGCCAGCAAAACAGTGGCACGTGCCTGTGCGAGAGAGCAGGAGGCATACGAGGTGGGGCCCGCCCTGCTCTGGTGCCCGACGGGTGGCACGTCCTGTACGTGCCCAGCCTGGCAGCACGCTTGACGCGGAGCTGCCCGCAGCTTTTCCTAACCTGCTCCTGTGTTTCCCTTTCCCCTCCTCTGCTGCCCGGCACGCGCGGAACCCCAGGAGGCTGTGAGCTCGACCTGGCCTGCTTCGTCCAGCTGATCAACGAGATGGGGGGGATGCAGCAAGTGACTGACCTCAAGAAATGGAACAAGCTGGCAGACCTGCTGCGCATCCCCAAAACTGCACAGGACAGGCTGGCCAAGTTGCAAGAAGCCTACTGCCAGTACTTGCTCTCCTACGACTCCCTCTCCCCCGAGGAGCACAAGAAACTGGAGAAGGAGGTCTTGCTGGAAAAGGAAATCTTGGAGAAGAGGAAAGGACCTTTGGAGGGACATTCGGAGAATGCCTACAAGTTCCATTCCTTGCCCCGGTTTGAGCCCAAAAACGGACTCATCAACGGCGTGGTTCACAAAAACGGCTTCCGCAACAAGTTAAAAGAGGTCGACGTCCCACTGAAGACGGGCAGGCGGCGGCTCTTCGCTCAGGAAAAGGAGACCACGAAGGAGGACGAGGAGGAGGAGGAGGGAGTTCTTAGCGACTTACACAAGTGTATATACAAGGTAACGAGGCGGGCTCTGCCAACTTTTGTTTCGCGGAACTGATGATGCTGTTGTCTGGGGGGGCATCGTCTGGCTGCAAACCCAGCCGGCCACCCCCAAGGCAACGGCTGGGGCCGGGTGGGGGGCTT